TTCGTACGATGCCAAGCTGGGCTCTGTTTCCAAAATCCGCCCTATCGACAACTTCACTGCCAGCTTGGCTAACTTGACGAACAGTGGCGACGAGACCATCATGCCACAAGGCGTTGACATGGTAGTGGCAGCCATGATCTATCGCATCAGAGCGATGAAGCGTCTCGGAAAGGATCCAGACTTACGAGCCAGAGCCATAGACTTAAGAAAGGCTTATAAACAGCTGCCGCTGTCGGATAATGCCTTGAGTGACTCTTATGTCTGTGTGTACAATCCTGCAAGTGGCCAACCGGAAATCTTCCAATGCTTGGTTTTGCCCTTCGGGGCTAAACCATCCGTGATGGCGTTTTGTAGAACATCGTCGGCTTTATGGTTCATCGGATTGAGAATTTTCCGGTTCACTGGACCATATATTTTGACGATTTCATACTTGTGTGCGCCGCACTTGAATCTAAGCATTTGGATTTGATGCAAGCCAGCTTCTTCGCACTCTTGTGCTGGGAAGTTTCGGGGGAGAAAGACGGCGGATTCTCCTCGGTGGCTCGTGCACTTGGTGTTGAGATTGACTTGTCTGACTCCAGAGCAGGCCTTGTCAGTGTTTGCAACACTGAAGCGCGGAAGAGAAGTCTGAGCGAGATGATTACGAACATCATCCAGAACGGTGGCGCTACTGCTCGTGAGTTCGAGAGCCTTCGAGGTCGTCTCATCTTTGCTGAGGGCCAGATCTTCGGCAAGGGTGCTAACCTTCGAATGAAGGTCCTCTCTCGTGCTTGTAGGAAGGCTGGGTTTGTGAAGGTTGCTGACGATCTCCTCGAGGCACTGCTTTTCCTGAGAGATCGCGTGGTCTTGGATGAGCCGCGCAAGGTGTCCGCTTCGAAGCGCATGTGCTATCATCTATACACCGATGCATCTCTTGAGGGCGGTGTGTCAGGCCTTGGAGGGATCCTTTACAACACTTCTCAGCTTGTCGTCTGCTGGTATGCCGAGCAGGTTGGTAAAGATCTGTTGTCTTCTATCAACGTGGAAGACAAAGAGGGTTTCATTTACGAGATGGAAGTGTGCGCTGCAGTTCAAGGTGTTTGTAGGCTGTGCTGCAAACTTCGCTCTGCCGACATTGTCCTGTTTTGTGACAATGAAGCGGCCTTGGCAGCATTGATCAGCGGCAAGTCTGACTCTTCTCTTGTGAACGCACAGCTTGCTGAGCTGAGCCACTTGGAAGATGCCAACAACTTGAACATTTGGTTCGAACGCGACCGAGCGCATCAAATCCAGCCGATAACCCATGGCGGATGGTGCTTGACAAACTTTCTGCATCTTTGCGTGTCAGGTGGTCTCCGGAGATATTTACTTGACAGCTCGGTGCTTCTACGAGGGGCTTCTGTGCACCTTCGCTTGCTGGAAACGTCTCTTGCGGGATTTGTGCTTTCAGGCTTGCAGGACTGTCCTTTTGCGAACGGCTTAAAGCTGTGTACGACTTGAACTCCGGGAACCGCCACGTTTAAAAAAGAGAGTGTGCGCGTTAAGGGTTGTGCTGTCTGAGTGCGCTGCGTTTGTTTGTGATTTATAATGTGAATAAGCGCTACCTCCCTTTGAAAAAGGGATAGTGCCTTATTCCAGAAATAAATCAAGGAAAATTTGATTTTCCGACAAACGCTTTGTCTTTCCTTTTTCAAGTTGGCATGTTTTCATGAGCAATGTTTTGAACTTTACTCATGACATGCACATGCTGAAGTTTGGCTCTGCCTGCAGGAGATTGAAGGAATTTTTTTGTCCCACCGTCCCACCCTTGACCAAATCCTTGTTTGAGGGGGGGCTTCTGTGCACCTTCGCTTGCTGGAAACGTCTCTTGCGGGATTTGTGCTTTCAGGCTTGCAGGACTGTCCTTTTGCGAACGGCTTAAAGCTGTGTACGACTTGAACTCCGGGAACCGCCACGTTTAAAAAAGAGAGTGTGCGCGTTAAGGGTTGTGCTGTCTGAGTGCGCTGCGTTTGTGATTTATAATGTCAATAAGAATTCGTTTCATTCGTGTTGAATGAAAGTCACGTACATTTCATCGACTGGGAATCGAGGGTTCGCCGGTGTGCCATCGAGCGAATTCAGCGCAATGCATGTATCCAAGTGAACCGATGTTGAACCGATGCTGGTTTGGCTGTATCTTGCTGGACATTTGTGGCACGCACTACATGCATATCTCGTTGCCGCGTGTTTTGCGTGATTGTGCTTTAGGGTTAACATTATTGAAAAGGCCCTCGTCCCTGTCCAGAATTACTTTCATAGTCGAGCGCATCCTCACCAAACCCAAATAACATGCCACCAGGGAACTAACTCTGTGCAAAGAATGGGCAAGCAAGATCCTGCAGGGATTTTTTGTGAGCATGCACTTGTTGCTTCCAATTCTGCATCATGAACGTGCGAGTCGTTGCTCGGCATGGCAATGTGATAGTTCACATGCAATCTCACAGATTTGAAGCTTCTGTGCGTTTTCAGTGTGACCGATTAAGCAAGCCCCTGCAGCTCCTGCGCCAGTTGTCAAACGCATTCCCCAATTGATGGCGCGTTTGCGACCGCATGCAGATCGACTTTATGAAGAATCGTGCATTGCAGCCGACTGCCTCAAGATGCAGCCTCGGCAACGACCTAGACATGAAGCACCGCAGATTCGGAGACTCGCAGGCACTGTACCGCAGACATGTGCTGCACGCACCTTCGTCCGTGGGATATGATGATTCCATGTCATGTTGGCTCGGCAGTCGGCAGGATATGGTGCAAGCAGCCGTCGGCTTCCTTCTTGGTAGCAGTATTTTGCACTGGCCTTATCGACTTGTGGGTATTGGAACCTCAGCCCCAAAGCTTGTGCGTCTTTCCCGCTCTGCTGTCGTTGTCGGTGTCGTCGTCGTCGTAGTGGTCCTCGTAGTCGTAGCCGTAGCCGTAGCCGTAGTCGTAGTCGCTGTCCTCGTCCGTGTCCTCGTCCTTGTCGTGGTCGGAGTCGGGGACATTGTCGTAGTCCGTCGGGGTTGTGGCATTCGTGGTCGTACATCATTGCGTTGCGGTCGTGATTACTGTTTTTGTTACTGTTGTTGTGATTATTGTTATTGTTTTTTCTTGTTCTTCTTGTTTGTTCTCCTTGTTACTGTTGTTGCTGTTGCTGTTGCTATTGCCGTTATTGTTGCTGTTGCTGTTGCAGCTGCTGCTTTTGTCAATGTGGTTGCCGTTGCCGTTGCCGTTGCCGTTGTTGTTGCTGTTCTTGTGTTGTTGTTGTTGTTGTTGTTGTTGTTGTTGTTGTCGTCGTCGTCGTCGTCGTCGTCGCTGCTAGTGTTGTTGAGGTGCTCTGCGTTTCCAGACAGCCCGGCCGACCTTGGTTGCAGCCTTACGCTTGCGCTGGTTGGTGTCAATGGTCTTGAAGTCGCTCATTGTCCGCGTTCAGGCTTTGACCGCGAGTGCAGTGGCTATGACGAGGAATGGGTGGCATCCCAACCGGCAGCCGCCAACCAGCGCGAAATTTGACGACGACACTGTTGACTAAGGGTCGCTGCCCGGATCTCGAACATTGTAACGGGCCCTGCGTGCCGCAAGATTGTCGGTTTGGTTCATGGCAGGACCGCAAGCAGCGTGCGAAGTGTCACACGTCACATGATGCCCTAGACCTTTTTCGCGAGGATTGGTATACATCTGGAGGTTGTACTGGCTTAAGGTACAGACGTAGAGAAGTGAAAGCCCCAGCTTTTCATGCGTGCGGTGCTTGCAGTCTAAGTCCGTGCCCTTTTCCTGTTAGGTCGTCACGGTGAACAATGAATGCGGCTACCCTTGCAGAGGGCCTGCCGTGCTCCTCGCTCGTCGTTGTGCGCAAGCATTGGTAGTACGTGTGTGCCGTGCCAGCACCATCTCTTTGCAAGATTTTGTTGGATGGATGATCGGGCCATTTAGCTTTGCTTTCTTGGGGTGCTTGCTTGAGTGTCTTAGAGCATGGCATGACGATGTCTCGTGCCAGGTAGAGTCTGCGCAGCAACCCGGTGCTGCGACTGAATGCAACCAGGATTTGGCAGCTTGCAAGTTTTCCGTACAAGGCTCAGCAGGGTCAGGCTGTCATCTTTTTTGCCGCTGGATGCCAAGGTAGAGGTTTCTCGAAGTCTCGAAGTGAGATCATAATGAGCATAAGGCGAGAGTCGAGAGCGCATTGGTGCTGTTGGAATGTGTTTTTGTGTGGTTTCCTCTTTCCATATGCCGGGAAGACCGCGCGGACTGCAGTTCGCAGCGACACATCGAATGAATAGTCTTCAACAAGGGCAACATGTGAAGGCCTCTAACCTTCAAAGGTAGAAGCTATGAGCAATCAGGCTTGGAGTTATTGTTTCATGTAGAATGTCGAGCAGCGGGATCTTGGATAAGGCCTGGTCTTCCTGGACTTCTTGCAATTCGAGCCTGCAACTTATCCAGCTCGGTTCTCCTCTTGATTTCTTGGAAGGATGCTCGCATCAGGTTTTGACCAATCAACACGGCACAGAGAGATCGAGGAGCCAGCAGGACCTGACGGGCAGCGCACCCAGAAAGTCGCTTGCTCTTTTTCCAGGTCTGGCTTTTCACCATGGGGTTGGCCGAATGCATGAGCTTCCAAATCAGCCAGCATCTCTTCGCTTAATCTCTTGCGGGGACGCAGCCTAAGTTGTGGACTCGTGCCCAACTTAAGGATCAGTAAAGGTTTCCACTGCTTGTTTCAGTAGTGGTTCCAAGAAGGATGGCAGAACCAAAAGTTCAGCAGGTTCAGGCTACCTGCTTGCGTCTGCAGTCACAGTGCTACGACTTGTGACTTGTGCATTTGCCAGGGCAAGGACACGACTCTCAAAGTAGCAAGCTGCTTGCACTGCATGCGACCAGGGATCCGTGCGCCGGCCCCCTGGCAGAAACGAAGGCGGAACGGAAGTGCAGCGAAGCGATCAGGTAAGTTCGGAGTCAGTGGTTGGGGCGTGCTACTGCCTCAGGCCTGCAGCACCGGAAATGCTCCGATGAGCTGCGTCTGGTCACAGTGGGGCTCCTGGGGTCGGCACGAAGCCCAGGGAGCCCACAAGAACCCGCACAGCGGTGCCTTTTCCCCCTGCTCAGGTGCAGCCTTTCTTGTGGGAGCGGTCGCTATGAGAGGAGCCCTCCTGGCCTGCAGACAAGGTGACAAGCGCCCTGCAACTTTTGGCAGGATGAGGCGCATTGAACGAAGGTCGGATCCAGGCCCGGTTCAACCTGCCACCCGAAACGGCAGAGAGCGGCCTGAGACCGTGAGGCGGTCTTCCTTGCTCCGGGGCTTCCCTGGAGAACGGTGCCTGCAACAACGGACCCTGCCAGCCAACCGACTGCAGGCCATGTGCATGTGCAAACAATGTGCCAACCATGGAGGCTTCGCCAGTTTCGTCGCCTTGTCGAGGCTTGGCGATTGGTCCTCCTGGTCGGAGTGTGACGTGCTTCTCTCAACTCGCCTTGGCATATTCCCGAAAGCATCGCGAAGGGTTCTTCCGTGCGGAGCCTCGCAGAGAAAATACATAGAGAATACATGGGGTCAAGTACACTTGACTTTACCACACTTGACTCTACGACACTTAGCTTTACCACACTTGAC